GCAGTAAGTCCAGTATTTTGCAAACGAAATGGCCAAGTAACTGCAGATTACTATGCAATAGTCATATGTGTACCGAAGAAGGCATTTATGAGTCTGTGCAGCAGCTGCGGGAGGTGAGATTCATGTACCATATATCATTATATTCTTGTAAAAGATATAAAGCCACACACATGCACTCATTTTATAATTTGGCAAAGATTCCACCCTTTTAATCCTTCTTGTCCCAAATAATTTGTCATTTTAGGAAATTTCTAAAATTTCACACAAGGAAAAGGACTAATCTACAGTGGGTTGGTGCACTAAATTAGCACATTTGCTTGCAGGTGTTTGTGAAATGTTTGAATATCATTTTTCTGGCATTTTCCTGAATTTCATTAAGCTTTTCCATGCTGTAAATCCAGCGTACTCACATATTATTAGGGTTTAGCAATCATGCTGCTGTGTTCTTCAGTAGTCATTTTTCCTTTAAATTGATTTTTAAGATATTGTGTTAAAAATTATTTTATTCTGGTCAGTATGAGTATAAGTTTAAAAATTAGAGGAATTTATACTTGGATTATTCAACCATTTCTCAAAATTTTAAGCTCCCAACTTTGAAGTAATAACTTATTTATTGAATAAAAAATTTTACCAAGCTTCATGTGGTCAGCACCATAACCTATTTTCTTATCATTCAATGAAAAGTATTTATTTATGGTATAAAAAGGCTGGAGGGAAAATAACCTAGCATTTTATATCTATAGGAGTATTTCTGTGGCTGGCTTAGGAGCTCTAGGCCCAATCTCTATCACCTAAGTTATCAAGCTTCATGTGGTCATCACCACCTTAATCTCAACTTTGTTTTTCTGTGGCTCTTATTGTGTCTTGGAGGAAGAGGAGGAGGAGGTTGGGTGGCATTTGGCTGCCCAGAATCAAACACCAGCCCCCTCGCCTTGTAGAACGAACTACATTCACTCCCACCCCTTTGATTTTTCACATTTTGGAGGCAGTTTAAAATATTTTTTAGACAGATTAATAAAACTGAATGCGTGAACCACAGCGGTGAGATACCCATAAAACTCATTCCATGAAAGGTTAACAAATGTAGTGTCATACGAGGAAGTATTTACTATTGTGCATAGGTTTTATTCATCTTTTATTTTTCAAATGTGCTTTTTATTATGGTTTTCATAAGGGAAGCAAATAACTTTCATACACATTGGGTTGACGCACTAACTCAGCACATCTCTTTCGAGGTATGTGAAATGTTTGAATACCTTTTTTTTGTTCTTCCTGAATTTAAATAAGCTTTATCATGCCATTAGGGCTTAACAATCATGTTCTTTACTTGGAAACTTTTCTTTAAATTAATTTTTTTAAAAATTAATTGTGTTTAAAAGTATTTTATTATGTCATGCAAGTCAATATATTTTTAAAATTATATGAATTTATAGTTCCAATAATTATCCATATGTTTGAAATCCACAAGAATAGGGCGATCAAATTTTGTCAGAGTGAATTAGAGTAGCAAACTGCATATTATAGATTTGTTTATGTATATTCCTAGAGTCTCAGATAACAATTACCATAGGCAGTTGTGGAACTCATTTTTTAGGTGTGAAGATATAGAGCATACAATACCTTGAACTTCTATTTTACATGCTTTTTGCATAGACCTGATCCATTGCTAAATATTTATTGCTTTGAAAATTTGTTTTATTCTATTTGTGAGGGGTTTTCATCACCCTCATTATGAAAAGTAAGTAGAAAGGTATCTTGTAGGGATCAGACAAATTCATAAATGTTTATTCATTAAAATTATATTAATTAAAATTCAAATACGAAGTTAAGTGAGCGGGATCGAACTTCGCACTCAGTTTTTTTAGTGAACAAAGCATGACTCTCATCACGGTCTTACTTGACCAAGAGTGTTTTTTACTAAAAATGAGGTGTTTAATACACTTTTTTAAAATAATATGGTTCCAATCCAAAGCAGTTCGGTCCCATGTGTTGTTGACTACAAATGAGGTAATTGTTTTACTGAATTTGAATAAATGAATTTTATCAAACAATGTCTTCTTGTGTTAATATACCGTTTATTTTAAAATAAAATTACATGACAACAGTGC